TATAGCTTTAAAATAAAATGAGCTAAAGTGGGGAAATTGCCAGTTTAAAAGAAAAAGTTAGCTCTTCTCCATTGAAGATACTATGCATAGTCATTGATGAAGATTTCTGTTGTATATAAATTTGAATTATTTATTTTAGCATTTGTTTTTCCTTTGGGGTTTTCAAGAGAGGGTTTCTCTGTGTGACCCTGGCTGTCCTGGAACTCACTTTGTATACTCTAGACCAGGCTGGCCTCGAACTCACAGAGATCTGCCCACCTCTGCCTCTGTCTTCCAGGTGCTGGGAGTAAAGGTGTGCACCACCACTGCCAAGCTGTTTAAGCACTTTTAACTGAAAAATTTTAAGTATAAAGAAAGTTGAACAAAATGAGATGCAGAATGCAAGAATTCACCACCAAGTGAGCACTTTGTAAACGAGGCGGCTGCACTCTGCTCTCCCCTCCCTGTGCTAAAAGCAGCCTCATGCTAACCACGACCTTGCTTTCTCTCGCTTTCCAGCAAAGAACACACCACTAAGCTGTGGTATTTTGGTTCTCTGATGTTTTCATTTTTTGAGAAAAGGATGAAATGGAACCATGGGTTCTTCTCTACTGCTTGGTGATATTCGCGAAGACTGTCGATCGAGGCTCTAGCTGTATACTTTCGGTACTGTGCAAAAACCATTTATGGACGTTCTACAGTTGATTCACCCACTGCTTACCCGTTGTCTAGTTGGTGAAACCTGGGTGGCTCATTGAGGTTGTACGGGTGCTGGGTTTACAGCTTGTCGCTGTTTGGTGGTACCAGTGGCACATATGCTTCCTCTGGGTTTGTAGTAATACCGAGTGCTGGAGTTAACGTCTTTTCTAAGTGGTGACGTCATCACGTTTTCACAGATGCGTTGGGCACTTCAAGATGCTTTGTGACATGTTTGCACAATTTTTAGCCTTTTCCAGCTGATTGTTTTGTCCTTTGATTACTGACTTTAGGAAGTTTTTAATTATCTAGAGGGAAGGCCATTGCTAAAGCGTAATGAATCCTCGTTTTCTTTTTTGTTTTGTTTTTTTTTTCAGTTCCTTAACGAGAGTAGGTTTTTCATTTTAACATCCAACTTCTTTTTACATTCCTTTTCCCTGTGCCGGAGCTTTAGTGTTGGCAACCTAGTCTTTTCCTCCTAGAAGATAAAACGGTGATCATCTCTAGTTCTAACTTCCAGTTTTATGTTTCGCTAGAATTTTTGCTTATCATGTAACGTAGAAGTCAAGT